GTACTGAGTTGTCAGTCGTCATTTCTTGGGCATTTGCATCCATCTGTATTTCTTCACAAACGCTAATTTTCTTACGGATTCTATTCCTGTGACGACCTCGTCTGTCTTCTAGATTAGCAGTTTCATTATACTTCGCCCAAGCAGTCTTTATTATGCGGTCAGAAATGGCCAAAGTATGTATAAACATAATTTGGCATACTGCAATTTTCTCGCAGTCGGTTTCGCTAGAATTGAGGACTTCGCTAGAACTCGTCGCTTCGCTAGAACCGGCAAGTACCGGCAGATAATATTTAAAAGTGTATTTTCTACGGTTATTAATATGGATATTCGTACACCGTTTTTTATTCATTTTCTCTGTATGTTTTATAATGAACTTCCACTGTTGCACTCTGTCTCCTAGTTGCCAAAATTGTTTAAAGCATTCTAATCTTTGTTCTTCAGATATTCTATCATAGCATTTATAGTGACATTCGCAAGGTGCTCTCATACATTTTTCATCTACTTCTTTGCCTTTTTTCGTTATGTATTTCTTTCCTAAATTTCTAAGACGTTTACGTTTGACATCTCGCCATTCTTCTGTATGCCTTACTCGTCTTCTTGTAGTTCTCTTGTCAGAAGCAGATGAATTTTTAGTGGTATCGACTTTTGTATGATTAAGAGAGAGTCTACCGTCGCAGATAGATTCGCTATTAGCAGGAGATGGTATAGGAGTTGATACTAAAAGTTCTGAAGTCGATTCGTTCATTAGAGCGTCTTCTATTAGCTTTTCAAGCTTTATCTGTGGGTTTTCCATACTTTGAGAAACTTCCAAAGAAAACGTACTCAAGTCATTACTATAAACATCTTCGGTAAGAGGATCAGACATATTATGTACTGAGTTGTCAGTCGTCATTTCTTGGGGATTTTCATCCATCTGTATTTCTTTACAAACGCTAATTTTCTTACGGATTCTATTCCTGTGACGACCTCGTCTGTCTTCTAAAATAGCAGTTCCATTGTACTTCGCCCAAGCAGTCTTTATTATGCGGTCAGAAATGGCCAAAGTATGTATAAACATAATTTGGCATACTGCAATTTTCTCGCAGTCGGTTTCGCTAGAACTGGTTGTATCGCTAGAATTGGGGACTTTGCTAGAACCGGCAAGTATCGGCAGATAATATTTAAAAGTGTATTTTCTACGGTTATTAATATGGATATTCGTACACCGTCTTTTATTCATTTTCTCTGTATGTTTTATAATGAAATGCCACTGCTGCACTCTATCTCCCAGTTGCCAAAATTGTTTAAAGCATTCTAATCTTTGTTCCTCAGATATTCTATCATAGCATTTATAGTGACATTCGCAAGGTGCTCCCATAGATTTTTCATCTACTTCTTTGCCTTTTTTCGTTATGTATTTCTTTCCTAAATTTCTAAGACGTTTACGTTTGACATCTCGCCATTCTTCTGTATGTCTCACTCGTTTTCTTGTAGTTCTCTTGTCAGTAGCAGATGATGTTTTATGGCTATCTATACCTATATGTTTAGGAGATAATTCAGTGTCGCAGGATTGGATACATGATGATGGCATTAACATTTCTAAAGTAGGTGAAGTTGCTCCATTTAAGTTAGAGTCTTCTAACACCTCTTCGACTTTAAATAATATTTCTGAACTAGAGTCGTTGCTTTCATCTTCGGCCAGTGGATCAGATATTTTTTGGACTTCGTTTTCATCATCATGAACTTCCCATAGTATGGTTAAAGGGTTTTGACTAGTATCTTCAGGATCAGAAGGTGAAGGTGACGGCTGACGTTCACCATCGTCTGAAAGTTAAAAAAATGTTATCAGTAATGTAATATTACAAGTCTGATGGCCTCTCCTAATTTTTAAGCCCCTAAGCGGCTAAGATCGTTGACATTTAACGACATTTTGGTTTTTATCAACCTATAAGTGACTCCTAATAGTACAAGTAAGAGGTTAGGTTAGGTGCTACAACACGCTAAGTAACTTTTAATTAAGATATAGTTGGTATAAACAGCCAATAGGATCAATTCACACCAAGACACGACGCCGCCAACACTTTAGAAGAGCAACTAAAAAACAACTTTACTTTCTACACGACAAAATACATATTTCATGCTTCATTCGCCTCATACAGAGTCGCTTCCCGGTATGATTTGACACTGAACTATATGATGCTATTAAAAAAATATTAAACGTTTCAATAGACGTAGTAGTTTTGGTTAAACGTTTCATCTTGATAGAAATATTATATTAAATTATATCATTAGATTCCGTAGAAAAACGTCCTATGTTCACATGTGACGTTTGCTTATAATACGTGAAGATTATACTTTTTTTTATTAAAATGGGTTTCTTTCTACAGGTGTTACGAAAATGTACTATGTATGTACCTTTTGAACCGCCACGTCAAAAATGCACACGTGCCCTTAACGCCAAGCTACTAATGCCGGATTACTGAAACGTTACTCAATTTTAAGTCGTGCTTAGATATCGTGCCATCTCTGTCATTTCACAAAGAGTTTGTAGAGAAAGAACTTCACTTAAGCGCGACCTTAAATTGAGTAGCGTTTGAGTATTCCGACATAAGCTCGTAAATGGGTAGTTTATTACTTAGTTTATTATTGTTCTAAGTTTTTGTCTTTTTTATAAGAAAGAAGGTCGACTAATACAAATAAGAATGCGTAAAGGACAACATAACATAACATCACGCTTTTTTATCACCGAAGAGGTAAGCAGAGGTGCACATTACGACACTTAATGGTACTGTACAATGTAACATCCACTTTTCACTATTTATGTTATGAGTCCCATGTAATTGGGGTGAGCCTATTGCCATATACCGGGCATATTTCCAGACTCCGTGCAACTACTGAGATTTTTTATAAAACTCAGAAGTACTTTGCCCGACCCGGGAATCGAACCCGAGACCCCTTGCCCAGCAGTCATACTTGCGACCACTCGGCCAACGAGGCAGTCAAAATGCGTAAAGGAATGTCAAATAAAAAGAAATGTCATTTATTAAACGCTTTATTTGCGGTTAAGTCTAATCTCAGTAGCCGCGACTATAGTGTACGTAGCGTGATCGAAACGAGACCGCGTAGGGCGCTCTGATTGGTTGGGTCATTGGGATCATGACGTTTTGATCTCTTTAAACGAAAAACAAACTCGTACTAGCCACTCAGGACATTTTCTGATTTGACGTCTATATACGACTCTGGCGGACTAAAGGTTATTTTTATGGGATAAGCCGGTAAACGAGCAGACGGATGACCTGATAGTAAGCAATCAGCACCACCTATGGACACCTGGAACACCAAAGGCGTTACAAGTGCCTTACCGACCTTTTGGAAATTGGGAAATTGAGGATTGGGATAGACTGCGCAGGGGGGAGGGGCTAATGGGGCCTTGGGTAAAGGTTAAAATTGGTCAGTCACAACTAAGCATAGCAAAGCATATTTAATTATTGCATATGAAAGACCGTAACTAAGATACTAATATCACAATAATACAATGAAAATCACAAACTTACCTGGATGAAACTATTTCTCCATATAACCAACACTTCATGTTGTCGCAATGGCTTTCAAAATATGTATTTTCATGCAAAACACTTGAATTTTTTTAATGGAAGCGGTAGAATGTTACGCTCACGGCATAAGACACGTCCTTTCACGACCGAATAGCAGGTCAATCTGACGGTCGGACAAAGGTCCCGCGGCGTTTTTGTTTCCCGCGCGCCATCACATGTACACTTCGGACATTTTACTGCGGATCTAATGTTAAATAGGACGACATTCGATTGTATCTTTCCAAAAATAAATAAGTCTTAAACTGTCAAACACCACGAGGACACCGGTGACCGCAACCTATTGTTCTTTAATTGTGTCTATAATGACGGTACTCCAAGGGGTAAATTAAGAAGCAATAAATAAGCCAGGGAGAAGCGTGTTTCGGCACGAATGGGCTGGCTGGCACCATAGTGATCACAGCCACATAGAAAACCATAGTAAGAAACAACTGTGTTTTGCCGTGTGAGTGAGGTTACCGGAGGCGTAATCAAACAGTTCCTGCAGCGTCTACTATACGACTGATGTTGCAGGTGCACTTAGAATATGGTTGCTTACTTTCATGACAATAGGATAGATTTTTATAACTATCGTGAGACATACTATCTTAGTTAAAATCGCTAGTTACTCACGTGAAGGTACTGAGAAAAGGTCTACTAATTACTTTCGAACCACAGAAGGGTTCTCCCTCATGAGTAGCGTGCGCGGTCGCGGCGTTGTCGCGCAGCCTACATGAGGAAAAACCCCTCTGTGGTTAAAAACTAACTAGTATAATGAAAAAAATAGTAAAAAATGTTATTTTGGTATGTGTATCCTATGTAGATAATTATTAACAAGTGCGTTGCCGGCCTCTTTTTTTTAATTTTTTTTTATTTCAGCAGCGCTCTCTGATAAACCTGAGCCTTTTGAATTATGATCTCAAAGCCATTGGCGAACCTCTTATGCATGTGGTAAGAAGCGGTTATTTTGATATTACAAACAGATATTCCAATTTTATTTATCTGTATAGTTTTACAGTCAGTCCCCTAGTGAAGCTATATGCTTGTTCGAAAGTGTGGATTCATACATAGAAGTAAGATAAAAAGACTGACTGAGTGACCTAAGTGTGGAAGAGCCATGCTTCGGCACTAATGGGCCGGCTCGACCGGAGTAATACTACGGTTGAGCAGAAAACTGTAGTGAAATAACGCTTGCGTTTTGTTTCATCGTGTCAGTGAGGTTACCGGAGGCCCAATTATCTCCCCCCCCCCCACTCCTCAGTCTTGCTAAACCCTGAATCCCCAACAATCCTCAAATTCCCACTTCCCAAAAGGCCGGTAACACACTTGTAACGCCTCTGGTTTTGCAGGTGTCCAGGATCCGATTGCTTCACCATCAGGTGATCTGTCTGCTCGTTTACCGGCTTATCCCATAAAAAAGACGGTGCTTACCAAAAGTATAATCCAGTTGGTGCTCCTCATCTTTGACCAGTACTTCTTTCTCTTCTTCGACACCTTCTTTCACCTCCTTTACTTGTTCAACAAAAATCTCTGTTTTTAGTAAAGATTTTGTCGCGTGCGGTTCAAAATCGTGTGGAGAGTCCAAGAAGGTATGCTGGAAAATAGAATAAGGATGATGACAGTGTATGAAAATTAAAAATCTAATTAGTCCGTCAGTTAGGTAATGAAAAAATTATTAGACACGTATTTTTTTATTTTGTTGTATAATAAAACTAGCTTTTACCCGCGGCTTCGCTCGCGTCACAAAAGGATAAAAAGTAGCCTATGTAACGTAATTATACCAATACACACAGCGCCATCTATACCAATACTTTTGTTTTCCCTCGGGAATATCAAATTTTTTTGGGATAAAAAGTACCCTATTATTTAATCCGGACTTCTAACTTTACGTCTGCAAAAATACAAAGGTTTAGTAGTTATGGCGTGAAGAAGAACAAAATAAACAAACAAACAAACTCACTTTCCGATTTATAATATTAGTATAAGGAAGTAAGGATTATACTTAGATACATATAACGAATCAAAGTTTTGGAGTGGGGGCTAAAACGTCATTTCTACGTATAAAATGTACATAGAAGTGACGTCACACGACATTTCAAATCAATATATCGCCTAAAGTATTCGTTTCTGTAAAAAATATAAAATACATGTCTTATGTTTTAAAATAATCTACCAGACGAACAAGTCACCCTACTACAGTTTAAAGTTACTGTGTGTGATCAATTGATGAGGTATATTGCTGGAGTCTGAGCCTTCTTGAGTTGTCATGCTCACTCAAAGATATCATTAGCGGTGGCACGTGCATTTGGTCGCTCGGCCGACACATAAGGATGTGTTTACTCATTTGCCAGACTATACCACGAAAAATCACCGCAAAAACCGGCACATAATTGACAAGACACAACCAAATACTGAAAGAGTAAGTACTCAATTTTAAATTGTACTTAAATATGTTGCCTTTTAAGACAGTTTACAAAGAATTTGTAGCTATTTTTTTTTATGGCATAAGCCGGTAAACGAGCAGATGGATCACCTGATGGTAAGCAATCGGCGTCGCCCATGGACACCTGGAACACCAGAGGCGTGTCAAGTGCGTTACCGGCCATTTCGGGATTGCGAGTTTGAGGATCGTTGGGGATTCAGGGATTGGGGAGATTAGGGAAGGGGAGGGTAATTGGGCCTCCGGTAACCTCACTCACACGACGAAACACAACGCAAGCGTTGCTTCACGTCGGTTTTCTTTGAGGCCGTGGTATCACACCGGTCGAGCCATTCGTACCGAAGCGTTGCCGAGACATTTTGTACACATTTTGTACAAAAACAACAGCTAGTAACTATTATGAGATAGAAATATAAAAAAACTAGCTTTTACCCGCGGCTTCGCTCGCGTCACAAAAGGATAAAACGTAGCCTATGTGATATATACCAATACACACAGCGCCATCTATACCAATACTTTTGTTTACCCTCGGGAATATCAATATTTTCCGGGATAAAAAGTACCCTATTATTTAATCCGGACTTCGAACTTTACGTCTGCAAAAATTCAAAGCAATCGGTTTAGTAGTTACTGCGTGAAAGCGGAACAAACAAACAAACAAACTCACTTTCCGATTTATAATATTAGTAAGGATAGATGAGTAGATACCTCTTTAGAATATTTGATCAAGAAGTCGTAAGACTGCAGTATCTGCTTCCTGAATCTGATGGCAGACTTGACACGCGCCAGGCATTCCCAGCACACCTGGATTTCTAAACCGTCTGGCACCTGGAACAGAGAGTTTTATAAAACTAAAAATATAGGCGCCTAGTAGTAATAATCATAATCTTTATATTATATTATATTATATTATATCTTCTTTATATATATACTTCTTCTGTGAGTGTGTATGTCACAGAACTTCTCTCAAACGACTGGAACGATTTTGATGAAATTTTTTGTGTGTGTTCAAGGGGATCTGGGAATGGTTTAGATTCACAAATCACCCCGGCAGATGGCGCTGCAGTCGGATTCTAGGTTATTTATCTATACATATTATTACAGGACAACGTCTGTCGGATCCGCTAGTTTATATGTATAATATAATTCTTCTGTGAGTGTGTATGTCACTGAACTTCTCTTAAACGACTGGACCGATATTGATGAAATTTTTTGTGTGTGTTCAAGGGGATCTGGGAATGGTTTAGATTCACAAATCAGCCCGGCAGATGGCGCTGCAGTCGGATTTTTAATTTTTAAGAGGTTTCCCCCTTCATCTAATTACTGCTCCCGCCTGGGTGAGGCGGGAGGGAGTGTCAGACTCTTACTGACTAAAAACCACCCCGTTCCTATTCCTGGACTTCGAACCGCAGTCGGTGTCTAGGTTAGTTATCCTAAACAGCTGAACTAATTTGAATGAATTTTTGTTTATACATTCAAGTGGATACTTATTATGCAGGACAACGTCTGTCGGGTCCGCTAGTCTACTACCTCTATATAAAAATAAGTCGGGTTTTCCTTCCTGACGCTATAACTCCAGAACGCACGAACCGGTTTCCACGGATTTTGCATTCGTTGGAAAGGTCTCGGGCTCCGTGAGGTTTATGAAATACAAATAAAAAACAAATTCTTCATCTTTTAATAACCACACGAAATGTTACGTAAAACGAAGCCATCTGGTGGCGAAACGGAGTTCGCCGGGTTTGCTAGTAACTAATAAATCATCATCAACAGCCTGTTTTCGTCCACTGCTGGACATAAGCCTCTCGAATGGCACGCCACTGAGCTCGATCTTCAGCTCTACGCATCCAACCACCACCAGCCACTTTACATATATCGTCACTCCACCTAGCTGGAGGGCGCCCTACCTCTATCGGGAAACTCTATCGGGTCTTTTCGTCAACTCTACCGCAAAGCCTGAAGACGAAAGTCTTCAACGAGTGCGTCCTACCAGTCATGACATACGGAGCCGAGACGTGGACACTAACAGTGCGACTGGTCCACCAATTTAAGGTGGCGCAGCGAGCTATGGAGAGGGCTATGCTCGGAGTATCTCTGAAGGATAGGATCCGTAACGAGGTGATCCGACAGAGAACTAAAGTTACCGATGTAGCCCAAAGGATTAGCAAGCTGAAATGGCAGTGGGCCGGTCACATTTGTCGAAGAACTAATAAATATCTACATTTTATTTTATTTTTTTTAATTATTTCGCAGTAGTAGCATGGAGACTGGAATTGTGTCCGGTATATGGCAATAGGCTCACCCCCTATTACATGGGACTCATAACATTAAGTGATGAGAACCTCCTCCTTTTTTTGAAGTCTGTTAAAAAGTGGGTGTTACATCGTACGGAGGCATTAAGTACCGTAATTTGCACCTCTGCCTACCCCTTCGGAGATAGAAGGCGTGATGTTATGTTTTTAAAATTATTTGATATTTTTAATATTAATTTCCCCAGACGGACGTTAAAATATTTAAGCAATCATCCCCAATACTACATATTTCTAATACCTACACAAATAGCGTAAAGTTAAAACCTTGACTTTAAATAGTTTTTTATTCGAATAAAAACTTTTTACTTTTCCGTACATTTTTTTTTCAATTTATTACGATTACAATTTCTCTCTATTTACAGAAAAACTTTTAATAAAAATAAATCAACAAAAAATTACTTGGTACCTAAGTACCTTGTACATACCTACTTAAATACACAAAAAAATTACGACTACAATGGCCGATCTAAGGATTTTTGTTCTATGTTTACATCAATTTAAACACGATATATGAATTAAACTATATCATTGTAACTTTAGATAGCATTTTTTACGTACATTTTACCGTAATCTAATAAGAAAATATATCAAATAAGGCACTTACATCAATATTTCCAAGCAGTCGAAAACATTCTTTGATGTCTGAATTGTAAAACATTCGACGATTATAGTTTAAACACCCCACGCATATTCCATTCACGTTGTAACCTTCTATATTTATGTTTATTTCATTCATTTTTACAAATAACTTGCGCTTTTTGATAACAAAATTTCTTTAGCAACAAAAGAAGCTTCATAGCTTTCGTTCAGCCATTTTGAAACTGCATTGAACGCTCCGTTTCACTAAATACTTTGATGCAAAAATTGTAGGAAATAAACAAAATAAACATTTTTCAAAGTTTATTATATTAAGTAAAAATTAATTTGTGAAATATTTTTACATATAAAATTTAGACCACTAATCAAAATAAGTTTTTTTGTGTAAAATGGAACGCCTTGTGACGCGTTCCAGAACAGACGAAATACTTATTTTGAAGTCGTAGCATTACTTTTTTTTTTGTGTTTTAGTTTACGTGTACGATGAAACAAAAACAGAACATGCTTAATTTTGTACTAGAGTTAAACGTAGTGACATTAAAAATAAAAATTAATAATCTGTGATAATGGCGGAGGCGATTGATTTGTTGACTTGAGAGAGCGGCAACAAGAAGTGGTAAAAAACGGTCATTAATAGCCAAAATTATATTGGATTTTCATTGAAAGCGATAAACACTTGTGTAGAAGTATGTTCCGTTCATATAAGGACGTTTCATTTGAATCAAAACCGAAGGAAAAGTGCGAATTTGAGATAGATGAAGGATTTTTTTGCGATCTATGCACTGCAGGCCCGTTCTCCACCGAATTAGATGTTGATATTCATCGTAGGAACGCTCATAAATGGGAATTATTGAAAAATTTAAGAGATGAAGACGTTCTAATGTGTTCTGTAAGTATTAATCGTGTTATTAAATTCAGTCTCTGACGTTAAAGGCCTGCGACAGCCGCTGTATCCAGGTCGTTTCCAACCTCGCGATATGTAGTCATTGGGGGACGACTGTGTGATCAGTGGACAGTACGTAACTGATATGCTATTAACGATAATGATTCTTGACTTTAAAGTCACTAAAATTGACCCTATCGTCCATCATTGCAAAGTCAATAATATTACTTAATTTAACTAAGTTTCATCACTCCCTACATTATTTCTACAAGTAAATAGCGTAATGTTAGATTGTAAAAACCTTTAAATGATAGATCCAGAAAGAAATTTTCAAATCCATAATCTATTTCTAGAGATATGAGTGCTTAACATAACATCTATCTTTAATTTTATTGTAGTCCGAACTAGCTACTTCCGCGCGGTTTCACACGCTCTGCTCAACTCCTATTGGTTGTAACGTGATGTTTTATAGCCTATAGCCATCCTTGATAAATGCGCTATCCAACACAAAAAGAATGATTCAAATCAGACTTGTAGTTATGGAGATTAGCGCGTTCAAACAAAAAGATAAACTCTTCCGCTTTATATAATAGTATAAGATGACTATTGTTACATTTTGTCTTTAGCTATATGAGAAAAAGATAGACATTTAGTTTTACCCTCTATGTTGTTTAGATATACACCCCCTCTTAACCCTTTGAGTACTGTCATTATAGACACAATTAATAACGAACAATAGGTTGCGGTCACCGATGTCCTCATGGTGTTTGACAGTTTAATCCATATAAATAAAAATGAATTTCCATTCAATTATTTATTGGGTTCAGCTTACTCACGTAGCTGTTTGACGAGGAACTCACCTAGTTACAAGCCATGCTAGAGGCTCATATTGATGAATGAATTTACCCTATTGTCTAACCACTTGGTACATGTATGTACATCACTGCTTAGTAAGTAGTGGCCCCCTCACTATAATGTGTTATATAAGGTAGGACACTCGTCAGTAACGCCGCTGTCTACCTGTCATAGTCTAGTGTATGTACACGTCGTGCACCCTGCACATTATTGTAATAAATCCGTCTATAATTAATAAATTCACCAACATAACACCACCATCCACTAGTTTCGAGTCACATTTCTTGTCAAACAGTGACGTAAGTAAGCCGAAAATGATAATTAACATACATAATATGTCTCATGAAAGTTTTATATAATACTAGCGGACCCGACAGAAGTTGTCCTGCATATCCACTTGAATGTATATACAAAAATTCATTCAAATTAGTTCAGCAGTTTAGGATAACTAACCTAGACACCTACTGCAGCTCCATCTGCCGGGCTGATTTGTGAATCTAAACCATTCACAGAACCCCTTGAACACACACAAAATATTTCAATAAAATCGGTCCAGTCATTTGAGAGAAGTTCAGTGACATACACACTCATAGAAGAATTATATATATAAAGATGAATTTCCATTTGGTAAAACTCGAGAACGGCTGAACCGATTTGGATAATTTTGGTCTTGATATGTTTGTGAAAGTCCAGGGAAGGTTTACAAGGTGAGAAATATGTTTCAGCTGTTTTAACCCGTTGAAATTCATCCCCTAAATTTGTTCATACAAAAGTAGTCTCTAAACATTGGAAATAAGGTCTTTAATGTAGTTAGTGGAGAGCGATCACCGGTGACCGCTTGGGATGTATGGGTTAATGTGCAAGAGCAAACACCCACACATGCATTCTCGCAAACTTTTTCATTTATAATAGAATCTTTTTGTGTCCATAAAGCAAAACAAAACCACTTAAGATCTACTGCATATAGTTCAGTTAACATTACGCCTTTTATCCCCAAAGGGGTAGGTAGAGGTGCGCATTATGGCACTTAATGCCACTGTACAATGTAAAACCCACTTTTCATAGGGCAATACTGGGCACAGTTCCAGACTCCATGCTAATACTAAGATTTTTTTTAAAAACCCTGTGATAAGTTCTGTTGTCAATCCTTACTTCCTTACTAATATTATAAATCGGAAAGTGAGTTTGTTTGTTTGTTCCGCTTTCGCGCCGTAACTACTAAACCGATTGCTTTGAATTTTTGCAGATGTACAGTTAGAAGTCTGGATTAAATAATAGGGCACTTATATCCCGGAAAAATTTGATATTCTCGAGAGAAAACGAAATTATTGGTATAGATGGCGCTGTGTGTATCGGTATATGTCATATAAGCTATCCTTTTATCCTTTTGTGACGCGATTGAAGCCGCGGGTAAAAGCAAGTCCTATATATTGTATAATTATTAACAAAAATCTCAAATTTCATTACAGATATGCCTCTACATACAAAAAGACAAAGAATCGCTAATACAACACATTCTGACCAACCATCTATGTTCTGCACCAGACGCAAAGATAATAAACCGAGAACTCTTTATCTGCGACTACTGTAACCGCTTATTTTTCAACAAGGACCTTCTTATTATGCACATATACCACTATCATTTACCGAAGGAAGTCAAACAGGTTTCAAATATACGTCACAACTGTCCGAAATGCTTGAAAAGTATTCCAGGGAAGTCGACATGGTTTCATCTGCTCTATCATGGTATTTTCAACTCTAGAACCTGTCCGATATGTCTGACATCGTTCAATAGAAACACTGATGTACTAAATCATTTGAAGAGTCATAAACCGTACTTAAAGTGCAGCATATGTGGTTTTACAACGATGAAGGAGCGTTTCTTTTCAAGTCACCTAGAGAAACATAAGAAAGATGTGTATTTAAATGAAAAGGATGATGTTTCTAAGTATTTTACACCGCAGCATGTGTTTCATTCTTTACAAAACAGGCAGTCGCATACATTGAAAGGTGTACCGTTTGCTAACGAAGTGAGGATCTGTGTGTTGTGTAGAACGGTGTGTCTTAGTTATGAAGAAATGGTTGCTCACATATACGGTGACCATTGTCCTGGTGAGAAGGAGAAGAGTAAGAAGTACCAGTGTCTTTGCGGTGAAGATTTCTTCAATAATGTGTTATTGAAGCACCATGTGTTCAAAATGAGAAGCGGACACGCTGTTATGGAGGCTGGTAAGTGATTGTTTTTTTGAAAATCTAGTCTATTGAAAATTGTTGAAATTCATACCCTTTTACATTACATCACGCCTTTTTATTCCCAAAGGGGTAGGCAGAGGTGCATATAATGCCACTGTACAATGTAACACCCACTTTTCACTATTTATGTTATGAGTCCCATGTAATAAGGCGTGAAGCTATACCTGGCACAATTCCAGACTCCGTGCTACTACTGAGATTTTTTTTAAAACCCAGTAATACTTTTCCCGACCCGGGAATCGAACCCGAAACCCTTTGCCTGGCAGTCGCACATGCGACCACTCGGCCAACGAGGCAGTCTTTTGTTCATACAAAAGTAGTCTCTAAACATTGGACATAAGGTCTATAATGTAGTTAGTGGAGAGCGATCACCAATGAGCTCTTGGGGATATATGGGGTAAATGAAACTAAATAGGCCTCGGAATCGTGGTGGCCCGGAGGTGTAAGAGTGTGGTTCGAAACCTACCAAAGGCAAGAACCAATGTGATTTTTGATGAGTCCCATGTAATAGGGGATGAGAGATGCCTGATATAAATTTATAATGTTAAGAAAATAAAAATCATTTAATATCTTATTTATTTATTTATTTATGTACACACATTCAACACAGAGGACAATACATATATAAAAACAGAGTACATAGCCCCCACATATTCCAACTATATGCTACTAGCTTTTACCCCCGGCTTCGCTCGCGTCACAAAAGGATAAAAAGTAGCCTATGTGACATATACCAATACACACAGCGCCATCTATACTAATACTTTTGTTTACCCTCGGGAATATTAAAATTTTCCGGGATATAAAGTACCCTATTACTTAATCAGGACTTCTAACTTTACGTCTGCAAAAATTTAAAGCAATCGGTTTAGTAGTTACGGCGTGAAAGCGGAACAAACAAACAAACAAACTCACTTTCCGATTTATAATATTAGTAACGATGTTAAGAAAAGGAAAATAATTTAATATCATTTAAATGTACCCTGTTACAGAAGAAGATAATGGCGAAATCGGCGGACACCTGTGTACATGTGGCCTACAGTTTCCAAACAGCTTACTGCTAAAACATCACCTGGTGCAGGTCAACTCTATGCACGGCGTCTGTGGTAAGTCTTACTATTTTATTAGAATAAGAATAGGAACCTTTATTTGCACGAAGTATGGTAATTACAGGTAATCCTTACTAATATTATAAATCGGAAAGTGAGTTTGTTTGTTTGTTTGGTCCACCTTCACGCCGTAACTATTCAACCGATTGCTTTGAATTTTTGCAGACGTAAAGTTAGAATTCCGGATCAAATAATAGGGTACTTTTTATCCCGGAAAAATTGATATTCCCGAGGAAAAACAAAAGTATTGGTATAGATGGCGCTGTGTGCATTGGTATATGTCACATAGGCTACTTTTTATTAAGCTAGTAATAAATGTTACATAACATCACGCCATTTATCCCCGAAGGGGTAGACAGAGGTGCACATTACGGCACTTAATACCACTGTACAATGTAACACCCACTTTTCACTATCCATGTTTATGAGTCCCATGTAATAGGGGGTGAGCCTATTGCCATTACCGGGCACAATTCCAAACTCCGAGCTACTACTGAATTTTTTTTATAAAACCCAAGTAATACTTTGCTCGACTCGGGAATCGAAACCAACCCATTGCCCAGCAGTCGCACTTGCGACCACTCGGCCAACGAGGCAGTATTTAAGTAGGAAAACCACATTATTACCTTATGCAAAGACAATTCATCCGTAGCACTTTCTATGTCGCCGATTCGGAGTCGCGGAGAACCTAACGGGTAACCGGGGCTCCGGCTCGGCGTGCAGGAGAAGGAACGGGGTGGTTTTTAGTCAGTAAGAGTCTGACACTCCCTTCCGCCTCACCCAGGCGGGAGAAGACATTCGATGATTTTCCCCCCATAAAAAAAAAAGCACTTTCTATGTCAGCTCTCTCCAGCCGCGGAGTCGCAACCGCTCGCACCGAGTTACTGGAGTCCAATCTGTAATCCAAATATGATTATAAATGGTCTGAAGAATGATTATAGGTAGAATGTCCATGAACTCCCATCCAGTTTATAATCATCGCCTTCTATTCATTGAAAGCGAATGCAAGCGTGACACCGACTCAAAGAGCATAATAAGTATCTATCAAACCCGTCTATAATAGGGTAGACGACTAATTTTTATTTTAATGTCTGTCTTATAGATTATTTAAAAACATTAGACACGTATTTTTTATTTTCTCACAGAAACGAATACTTTCGAAGATATATTGATTTGAAATGTCGCGTGACGTCACTTCTCAGTACATTTTATACTAAGAAATGACGTTTTAGCCCCCACTCCTGAACTTTGATTCGTTTTATCCAAGTATTGTTTTATTATACGACAAAATAAAAAAATACGTGTCTAATATTTTTTCATTACCTAACTTACGGACTAATTATATTTTTAATTTTCATACCCTGTCATCATCCCCATTGTTTTTTGCTCACCAGCCGCTAAAGTAGTGACAAAACAAACCCTACGATAAGTTAAGGCCGGCCTTGTTGAGCAAAATCTTAATCTGACTTAAGCGGCTGCCTCGAACTTTGCGGGGCAGCAGGGCCATAGTATAAAGAAAAGGGAAGAAGGCCATCTTCTTCCCAATCCGCGATATAATTGGGTAGACGACTAATTTTTATTTTAATGTCCGTCTGGTAGATTATTTAAAAACATTAGACACGTATTTTTTCTTTTCTCACAGAAACGAATAGTTTCGAAGATATATTGATTTGAAATGTCGCGTGACGTCACTTCTCAGTACATTTTATACTAAGAAATGACGTTTTAGCCCCCACTCCTAAACTTTGATTCGTTTTATCTCAGTATTGTTTTATTATACGACAAAATAAAAAAATACGTGTCTAATATTTTTTCATTACCTAACTTACGGACTAATTATATTTTTAATTTTCATACACTGTCATCATCCCCATTGTTTTTTGCTCACCAGCCGCTAAAGTAGTGACAAAACAAACCCTACGATAAGTTAAGGCCGGCCTTGTTGAGCAAAATCTTAATCTGACTTAAGCGGCTGCCTCGAACTTTGCGGGCAGCAGGGCCATAGTATAAAGAAAAGGGAAGAAGGCCATCTTCTTCCCAATCCGCGATATAATTGCCTACTGTCTTAGGGTTGTCACTTTTAGTTTAGGCGCAGCTTACATACCAAGATTATTTACCTTTAGTTAACCACATAAATCAATAGACCATAGTCAATTACTTATTTTGAATTACGATTTTGTAACTGTAATTAATTAGGTACTTAGTTACTATACATACCTACAATACTGAGAATTCAACATAACCATAACTAAACGTAAACAAAACAATAGGCGACAATAGCGGCAAATCAATGGGGATGATGACAGGGTATGAAAATTAAAAATATAATTAGTCCGTAAGTTAGGTAATGAAAAAATATTAGACACGTATTTTTTTTATTTTGTCGTATAATAAAACAATACTTAGATAAAACGAATCAAAGTTTAGGAGTGGGGGCTAAAACGTCATTCCTTAGTATAAAATGTACTGAGAAGTGACGTCACGCGACATTTCAAATCAATAATATATCTTCGAAACTATTCGTTTCTGTGAGAAAATAAAAAATACGTGTCTAATGTTTTTAAATAATCTATCAGACGGACATTAAAATAAAAATTAGTCGTCTACCCTATTGCCAGATCAAAAGTACTTACTTAATACAATCTAGTAGGAAATTGGGCGTACCTACTTCCTATGTGATACTGATAGGAAACAAACACAAACAAAAAATAAGTAAGTAGGTATCTCATCATCAAGTACAGATTATATTATGCTAGAATAAGTGACTAGCTTATCTTTCCTGTTCAATAAGTAATCTGAACAGAGACAGTTCTGGCATCGATGAATTATTAAGACACCCAAACACACAGCAATACGTTCTTCTACGATTATCAGAAATTTTTTATTCATTTAACAGTGCTGAAAAGTGATGCGCGCGCGAACCTCGTGCAGTGTTAGCCCTGCCTGGCGCACTGAGAAACGGGTCGAGATTTTGTTAAAGTGTGCGTGCGTCGACGCATAGATACTATGGCGCACACATATAAGCCGCGCGCGGTGCATTTGTATAAAGATAACCTACTTCCCTTTTCTTTTTACTATGGGCAGGGCGGAGGCGACCGCAGTTTTCGAGAACCGGTCCATTTGATTTTACGCATAAGATCCTGCCGCTCTCCCTAAATAGATCACTTTCGAGAGTTACTCGAAAACTATCGAGCGTACTTGATCGTGATTGATACTATACTTAGTTTATGAGAGTAAAATTATAAACGAGAAGAATCGATCCAGAAATATTGCATTCCCATATCGAATAATTTTGCAACGTCACTATTTAGTACTTGTCATTACGTTGCAACACTGAAATTGTCAAATCTGGAATCGAATTAAAATTCGGAATATATTAGTTTATTCAATGTAATCTTAAATTTATTTAAAGGTAATTCTCTTATATGTTTATTGGTGGATTAATGATTGTAACTCGGATTTGTTTTACTGGACTTTATTGGCTTTTTATCCTCGAAGGGATAAGCAGAGGTGCACATTATTATGGCACTTAATGCCACTGTACAATGTAACACCCACTTTTCACTATTTATGTTATGAGTCCCATGTAATAGGGGGTGAGTCTATTGCCATATACCGGGCACATTTCCAGACTGTGCTACTGCTGAGATTTTTTTATTTTCTGCCTCGTTAGCCGAGTGATTGCAAAGGTGACTGCCGGGCAAGTAGTCTCGGGTTCGATTTCCGGGTTGGGCAAGAATTACTGGGTTTTTTTAAATTTCTTAATATCTAGCAGCACGGATTCTGAAATTGTGCCCGGTGTATGGTAATAGGCTCACTCATAACATAAATTGATAAGTAGTGAAATGTGCCTGTTACATTGTAGGTACAGTGATGTTAAATGCTGTGATGCCTACCCCTTCGGGGATAAAAGGCGTGCTATGCTACTACTGAGATTTTTTTAAATAGCCACCAATATTGTGCCCGACCCGGGAATTGGGTAGTTTCCAGGGTATCAAAATTAAAAATCGAATTAGTCCGTCAGTTAGATAATGAAAAAATATTAGACACGTATTTTTTTATTTTCTCGTATAAAGTTGCAATACTTAGATAAAATGGCGCTAAGTTTAGGAGTGGGAGGTCGTTACGTCATAACGTGCTACAAAATGTGGCACGCTGTGACATCACACGATATTTCAAATTAAAATATCGTCTAAAGTATTAAATTTTGTGAAAAAGAAAAAATACGTGTCTAAAGTTTTAAATTAATGTACCAGACGGACATTAAAATAAAATTTAGGAAACTATCCTATTGAACCCGAGACCCCTTGCCCGGCAGTCGCCCTTGCAACCAGTCAGCCGGCAGGGCAAAGGCCTCCTTCCATTCTTTTCTATGCAAAACTATGATTCATCATCAACAGCCTATAAATGCCCACTGCTGAGCAAAGCCTCTTCTCACCCGGAGAAGGTTAGAGCATTAATCACCACGCTTGCTCAATGCGGGTTAGCGATTACAAACTTATAAGTAGAAATTATAAGTCCAGGTTTCCTCACGATGTTTTTCCTTCACCGTTTGTCAGTGGTGTCTAAATAATCTTAGAAAGTACATATAACTCGGAAAAAGTCACATTGGTACTTGCCGTTGGTAGGTTTCGAACCCGCACCCTCATGCATGAGATATGGGCGTCTTAAACCTCCGGGCCACCACGACAGACACTAGAAACTATGATTATTTTAAAATAATTGTGTTTTTATTTTCAGATGGCACAGAAATGGTAACAGAGCAACAAGCGTCGAGTGAAATAGTTTTTTCTGAATATGATATAGGTATGTATCAATAGGATTTTTTTTTAAGGGGGGAAAATCATCGAATGACTGCTCCCGCCTGGGTGAGGCGGGAGGGAGTGTCAGACTCTTACTGACTAAAAACCACCCCGTTCCTTCTCCTGCATGTCGAGCCGGAGCCCCGGTAACCCGTTAGGTTCTCCGCGATTCCGATGTATCAATAGAAATGGTGACGGGGTAAAAAAATCTAATTAGTCCGTCAGTTAGATAATGAGAAAATATTAGACACATATTTTTTTATTTTGTCGTATAAGAAAGCAATACTTAGATAAAACAGAGTTAAGTTTAGGAGTGGGAGGTCGTTACGTCACGCTGCCCTATAAAATGTGTGTATTTTTGCGAATTTAAAAAACAATGTAGGTAGTTGTATACCATTTTAAAATCCTTATTAAATGCGCCAACTTTGGTGAAATTTGCCACTACTACCGCAGTACAATTTTTTTCCAGTATAGTCACTTTAAAATTAGGTGAAAAAAATAATATTCTTTTCTAAACTAAAGCAGTTGGTTCAGAATTTGGGATTCCATAGTACTGAACCACTATTCAGGATAACGTAAGTAAAAATACAGACGAAAAAATAAAGAATTGTAGCAACAAGAGTCAACAGACTGGCTCAGGATGTACTTTTTCGTAGATAACACATAAGTCATTGTAATTTAAAAACTATCTGACTTGGAATTTTATAAATAATTTTGTCAGAACTTTTGGAACCTTGTCGATCACTTGGCGCCATTTGATCGTCGACTTCAGGGACACCAGGGTAGACGATAATTTTTATTTTAATGTCCGTCTGGTAGATTATTTAAAAACATTAGACACGTATTTTTTCTTTTCTCACAGAAACGAATACTTTCGAAGATATATTGATTTGAAATGTCGCGTGACGTCACTTCTCAGTACATTTTATACTAAGAAATGACGTTTTAGCCCCCACTCCTAAACTTTGATTCGTTTTATCTAAGTATTGTTTTATTATACGACAAAATAAAAAAATACGTGTCTAATATTTTTTCATTACCTAACTTACGGACTAATTATATTTTTAATTTTCATACCCTGTCATCATCCCCATTTAAACTTGTTTGAACATCTCAACTAATCCCTTTTAAAATAAGTAAAGGATAATATTTATTTATTTATTACCCTCCTTTCCAAGTCTCCCCAATCCGTCAAACCCCCACAATCCTCAAAATCCTAATCTCCAAAAGGCCGGTAACGCACTTGTGACGCCTCTGGTGTTCCAGGTGTCCATGGGCGGCGCCGATTGCTTACCATCAGGTGATCGGTCTGCTCGTTTACCGGCTTATCCCATAAAAAAACATGAAGTAATATTTATTTTCTTATTTTTTCCAGATCAACCGATGGAAGTCCAAGTTGGAGATTTAGTCATTGGAGTATAGATAGATGTACGGCAATAGACTCACCCCCTATTACATGGGACTCATAACATACAGTTTTTTTTAATAAACGTTGCCTCACACTAGGATTTTCTCCTGTGTCGTGGGTGTGTTTACAAACATACAAATTCACATACACAGACCCGGAACAATGGTGCGGCAGCAATTTGCCCAACGACCGCGCCAACCGTGCAGACAAAGTCTAATTTAGTTTGTCTATTTAATCATGAAAATTAATGAGGGCACCACATGTCGTTAATATAGCTACCCCTACAGCGTAATCGTCGACGTGAAACAACGCTTGCAATGTGTAATAAAGAAAGTGTAGTAAAGAATATGAATTAATTATTTTATCATGGTTTCAAATTTCGCGCGTTATTCGCGAAAACGCGGCAAACAGCAGCCGCCATGATTGTTTTGTAGTCATGACGTCATTACGTCAGTATTCATTCAGTTAAATACAGCTGACAGTAATACACAGTTAGTACAATGACAGCTGATACTTTTGTTTACTACCGTAATGACGTCATTAACATGGCGGCGACATTTCTTAGTGGTCAAAGACAAGATAGTGAAACATTAAACTGCAATAAAAAAGAAACTTAAGTATTTTATGAAGTGAAACTAACATTTCCCGATTGCTTTGCCTATAAATAATCATTGTAATAAACTTTTGTAAGGTTCATGTTTAATACAGCAATAAAGACAGCCTTATTACGACTTAAAATAGGTTTAAATAGTCATTTCTTTATAGTATTTATAATTAATGACTGCCTCTGGCCGACTGGTCACAAGTGCGACTGCCGGGCAAAAGGTCTCGGGTTCGAATCCCGGGTCGGGCAAAATATTACTGGGTTTTTAAAAAAATTTCAGTAGTAGCACTGTGTCTGGAATTGTGCCCGGTATATGGCAATAGGCTCACCCCCTATAAAATGGGACTCATAACATAGTGAAAAGTGCGTGTTACATTGTACAGTGGCATTAAGTAACGTAATGTGCACCTTTGCCTATTCCTTCGGGGATAAAAGGCGTGATGTAATGTGCTATAATCCAAGGTTTGGTATTAGAGCTCACACAGCTATAGACTTGCACTCTGACGGCAAGGCTTAATTATCTATCTATCTTTAGATATAATTTCTACTAGCAGTACACGCAATTTCATCTGCGTTTTTACCGACTTCAAAAAAAGGAGGAGGTACTATGTTCGGCTGATTGTGTTTTAATTTTTTTTGTTTTGTTCTTCCAAAAATAAAAGTAGCCTATGTTACTCTTTAGTACATTAGCTACCTGCCAATAAAAGTCCCATCAAAATCGGTTCAGCCATATCAGAGATTAGCCAGTAAAAACAAACAGACAGATAAAAATTGTACAAAATGTTATTTTAGTATATTATCGATTGTATATTTGGTTTAAGCGACATTTTGGGCGAATTTGAGTTATTATATATATTCGACGGAGAAAAATTAGCTAATTCCGAATATATATATAACTCAATATCGACCAAAATATCGCTTAACTCGTCGAGTACCGGTTTTATAGACACAATTAAAGAACAATAGGTCGCGGTCACCGGTGACCGCTTGGTGTTTGACAGATTAAACCAAATAGCCCGTTACCCCTCGATATGCATGTAGTAATTTACTTTCAATATTACAAACAGACACTCGAATTTTATTTATCTGTGTAGATGTGGCGTCATTTTCGAGGAGCCCTACTCCCCGGAAATGACGACTCAACTGAACAGTTTCCTACACGGTCCGCAACAAAGCAAAGACACGGCGCCACTAGGGTTTTTTATTTTTCATTCTATGAAACTCTATAACTTTTATAAAAAATATTCCTTTTGTCTATCTGTATGTTCACGTATTACGCAAAAACTACTGAACCTTTAGCCAAAAGCCACTTTAGCGCCTGTCTACAGAGAGAGTAGAAAACTAAATGTATGGAGATGACACTGACAAGTGTCAAAATTTACGTCAATTCCATATAATTTAGTTTTTTATTCTACAAGTAGACTAGCGCTAAATGGCATTTGGCTACAGCTGCTGGTCCGATTACGATGACACTTGGTACGATTATTCTTTAATATCCTGGGTTTTTTATGCCAAAAAGTATATAAAAAAAACAAAATTTAATTGTGCGGCTCAATCCTTAGACGCAGTTACTGTACCAAACGCAAATATAAGTTTGTCGAATGTTAGATTGCCAGGATTTTGCGCTGTATCTGTAGGGCCGATGGTTGAAACTAGCTTGAACCGATATAAATGTAAAAATATGAGTTTGTGAACGCGGGCGAAGCCGCTGGCAGAGGCTAGTGAGAAATAATACGCTAATGGTTATAAATATGAAGAAGTTAATTCTATCGATAGATAGATTTTTAATGCCGGAATACTGAAACGTTACTCAATTTTAAGTCGTGCTTAAATATCGTGCCATCTCTGTCATTTTATAAAGAATTTGTGGAGACAGAACTATACTTAAGCACGACTTCAAATTGAGTAACGTTTCAAATGGCTATTAAATCGAATATACGTACTCGCAATATACTAATTACTTTTTAGTAAATGCTAGATAACTCATTTCTATTCAACATATTGTTAAAAAATAGTGTGCTTGTTTAAGCAGCAATATTAATGTGATGTAAGCTATAGAAGTATGCAAGGAGCGTAGTAGGTGACGCTCTGTAGTTTCTGTATACCATCAGATGTATGAATGTGATGGAAGCTAAAGAAGTATGTAAGGAGCGTAGTAGCTGGCGCTCTGTAGTTTCTGTATAACATCAGATGTATGAATGTGATGGAAGCTAAAGAAGTGTGTAAGGAGCGTAGTAGGTGGCGCTCTGTAGTTTCTGTATACCATCAGATGTATGAATGTGGTGGAAGCTAAAGAAGTATGTAAGGAGCGTAGTACGTGGCGCTCTGTAGTTTCTGTATACCATCAGATGTATGAATGTGGTGGAAGCTAAAGAAGTATGTAAGGAGCGTAGTAGGTGGCGCTCTGTAGTTTCTGTATACCATCAGATGTATGAATGTGGTGGAAGCTAAAGAAGTGTGTAAGGAGGGTAGTAGGTGGCGCTCTGTAGTTTCTGTATACCATCAGATGTATGAATGTGGTGGAAGCTAAAGAAGTATGTAAGGAGCGTAGTACGTGGCGCTCTGTAGTTTCTGTATACCATCAGATGTATGAATGTGGTGGAAGCTAAAGAAGTATGTAAGGAGCGTAGTAGGTGGCGCTCTGTAGTTTCTGTATACCATCAGATGTATGAATGTGGTGGAAGCTAAAGAAGTATGTAAGGAGCGTAGTAGGTGGCGCTCTGTAGTTTCTGTATACCATCAGATGTATGAATGTGATGGAAGCTAAAGAAGTGTGTAAGGAGCGTAGTAGGTGGCGCTCTGTAGTTTCTGTATACCATCAGATGTATGAATGTGATGGAAGCTAAAGAAGTGTGTAAGGAGCGTAGTAGGTGGCGCTCTGTAGTTTCTGTATACCATCAGATGTATGAATGTGATGGAAGCTAAAGAAGTGTGTAAGGAGCGTAGTAGGTGGCGCTCTGTAGTTTCTGTATACCATCAGATGTATGAATGTGATGGAAGCTAAAGAAGTATGTAAGGAGCGTAGTAGGTGGCGCTCTGTAGTTTCTGTATACCATCAGATGTATGAATGTGATGGAAGCTAAATAAGTATGTAAGGAGCGTAGTAGGTGACTGTAGTTTCTGTATAATATAATAGTGCCCTGTGGGTAATAAAAGACGTAATATTTATCAAGCAATAATATAACACCTATATACCTAAGCGTATTTTTGTTAAATATTTAAACACTGTCATGGTGTAGACAGTCAAGTTTTTCAGTATCCAGGTAAGCCAATAACGATTGATTCAGTACAGAGACAGTAGCCATTGTTATAATAAATTATACGCTTTGTAACGAAGCCATGTCTTCTGTAACTCAGTCGACTCTAGACAACCAATGGCTACTGTCTCTGTACTGAACCAATCTTTGTATTCTTACCTGCATACTAAATAACATGGTTGAATTAATTTTGTTAGCCAATTGTAATATATAGCTATGTACTATATATGTAAAATAAATGTTTTTTTAAGTATACATACGTTTTATTTCAAATAAATACCTTTTCTTTCTAAAAAACTGGGCTTTAATAAATTCAATTGGGCACTTGCCAATTACTCAAATTCAATACTAAAGTCAAAGTCTAAATCATTTATGGGGCCGTTCAAATATTACGTACGCAGATTTTTAACAATTACTTATCCCCCCACCCCCCTTGTCAGCAAAAGTAAGCAAAGATCTTACCCCCTCCCCCTTTGCTTACGTAAACATTTTAAATTAATGTTTTTTATATTGTAATTTTAATATTCTCCAAATACCATAATGTCTCGTTCTTTGTCGGTCTTTGCTTTTAATTTATAATTTCAATATGAGGGTTGCCATTAGTGTAAAAAAGTAAATAACTACCGATGACGTAATCATCATCTAGACCCCCCTACCCCCCATATCATCCGAAATAAGCAAAACAGAGACCCCCCCCACCCCCCATGTTGCTTACGTAATACTTGAACGGCCCCTCTATTCCAATTAGACCAGGAAGGCACTTTTGAACGTCAACAACAAAAATTAGAAGTGAAGCTAGTTGCTCATTCTAAGGTGTAGATTCCTATGGAGAAGAACGAGCAAGAAACTCCATAGGTTAATCTTTTTCAATCAGGTTTACAATACAATTCTCTAGTTACATAGTTTTGTTGGTTCGATTGTGTGAGAACAATGCAACACCTCAGTCCAGTCAAAGAGATCAACTCTGAGGACAATAAAATCATACAATATTCAAATTCAATACTTTTTTCGAACTGTCAAAAGCGACAGTTTTTTATGAATTTTGTACGAGATTCTTTATTGTGACGTCACGTTTCTTAAGCGTCAAACAGTATACTTGTTGCTTAAAAAATTGCTAAATTAATACTGAAATTAAGTTGTTCATACAATCAAT